GGGTACATATTCTTAATAAAATTTTAAGCAATTATAAAAAAATATAAAAAAAATATTCTAGTGGGTATATTTAGCTGCTGGACGGTTTAAGGGATACCAACAAAGAACCAGACCAAGGCTTATCAAGACTACTCCAAGCACTAGGCCTCGAAGTAAAAACAATGACCAAACTATACTAACAAAAACTCCAGCAGAAAACTTTACAAACAGCAAAATCTATATTTACAAGAATGCCAAAATGACTAAACCTAAAGAACAAACAAAAAATTGTATAGAACTATAATCTAGAACATCAAAACAATGAATACCAGAAATGGTCTTACCCTCAAAAACACTTGAATCGACAAAGATCCTGACACCAACTACCACAGGTAGAACAATAAACCTTTTAACAATTATTTTTTTAAAAATCCTTGGTGTGATATGCAACCTTTTCGAATATTTTATAAATATTTTTCAACCTTTTATATTATATGTGAAAGAGATATGAAAAGAATTATGATAATAAAGAAAATATTTGGAAAAGTTGCATATCACACCAAATATTTTTGAAAGAATACTTGTGAAAAAGATTTATTGTTCTACCTGTGTACGACGACAATTCCAAGAATTAATGATGATGACAGTTCCAAGATCGGGCCCAACCTGGCCGTCGAATCAGCAAGAATACCGTCTAGTCAAATCACCACCACAAGAACTACATAAACTAGTGAAAACTACAAAAAGCTCAAAATTGTTTTAGCATCAGTTGTAACGAGGAATAAGAAAACAACAAAAAAAAAAGTGGTCAAAAAAACAAACTACTTATCTACTTCTGTACTTATAATTAGTACTTCACAAAATTAAATCAAATTTTGAATTTGATTCAAATGTTTGAAATTATTTGATTAAATTTTTGATCAAATAATTTCAAATATTTGAATCAAATTCAAAATTTGATTTGATTTTGTGGAGCACTACCCGGGTATATAAAATGGAGATCTACAAAAAAAAAAATTGCCCAGGCTACATTAATAACAAAATTCACTCATCAACACAAAATCCTACCAAGACACAAATTGTGATTACCTCAGTACTTGGTATTGATGCCAATAAAATTGTATGTCAAGTAAAAGGGATTGGAGGTTTTGGCAGAAAGGAACAAGAAGTATTCCTTTATCATTGGTACTAGTAGTTGGTGCATGGCATTTTAAAAAACCTATTAGATGTATGCTAGATCAGTAGATTGTGATGAAGATATAATCATATCAGAACAAAGACATCCTTTCTTAGGGCGGCTCTTTTTTTTACTTCTAGGGAAAGTTATCTTAGCCTTTTCGCAAAGGTAAGAAGCTTAAAAGCATATAATTTGCGATCAAGATTACCTTTTTACCTTTCCATTTGTGCATAGATTTCGGGTCTCATCTACTTTTTTAACAAGTATTAACTCGCGTGAATTATTGTGGATTAATTAAACTAGACGTCTTATATCACCTACTTGTGCTTTTATTCGAATTTCCAATAATGAATTCAAAGAATAAAAAATTCCTGAAAAATGCTGGCAAAAAGGTGCGTAAGAGTCAATCAAATTCGAAAATCGATATGTAGATCATTCTAGAATCCGATTTTCTAATTCGGTATATCCCCTGACTGTGCTATAAGAATTTATATTAATATCTTGCAAATAATTAGATTTTTTTAAAATGTGTTTGCAAATACAAAGCGGCGCTCCGGAACCTAATGGATTCCATTTTTCTAGTTGTCTACAGTATTATTAGAATGATATTTTTGAGAATAATATTGCAGGTAAACAATAACATGAATAAGTAGGATGTCAAGAATGTTAACCAGGCCTAGGCCCAATTGGTATAATAAATGACTTGATAAAACGATGTTCATCACGAACTTTTTTTTTGAAGAGGACAACAATGGCCGAAGTTATTTAAGGTATTAACTGCTTATTACAGGGAGGTATGCATTCAGCATATCAACATATAGCAGTTACACACACAACTTTAGTTTAAATGCCCTATTATAGGTTTCCTATTGCCTGCCACATCTGAAATCCGCCAGAGTTTTCATCACTAACTTTTTTTACACAATGATTTACTAGTTATCCAGAAAATTTTATAATCATAGATTTATTTCTTTTTGTTATTTTTTGGGGTGTTATTAGGGATACCGACTATACTCATGATAAAACTTGATAAAAATATAAACTATCTACATGATAGGTTAATACTATTTATATTTTTGAGGTTTAGACTAAAAACGTGAAAACTATCAAAATATAAACTGATTACAATAAACTTTATATTATATATGATAAAACTATGAAATAAATTTACTTAGCATATTATAATAAAATAAGAAACTTAAAAGTTTATTTAAGCATATATATTTGATAAATATTAGTATTTAACGTTTGTTGTATAATATATTTTAAAGTTAATTACTATCGTTCCCAGTCCCAAAGACCTCCTCAACAATATTCGACACTTCATAGTTCATATTTTCATGACCTTTGCTTGATGTTGGCTTAGATTGTGGTCTAAAACTTTCACAATACGATTCCATATTGTTAAAATTAAAAAAAGGTAAAGTAAGATCTACTATGTCTTCGATCTTAAGTGTTGTTTTAGAAGCTGCAAGCATATCAGAATTCATTGAAGTAGAAGGAGTATTTTGATTTACAATATAAGACTCTACATCATCGAATATATCATTTGTATTAAGTATATCAACTTCTGAAGACAAATTAATCAGAATTGTTGCCATATTAGCACATGCCTGTAGTTTTTCTTCCATTAAATCCTTCCCATAATGCTTAAGTTCTTTTCAGATTTCTGAAAGCCAATATATTCGTAATTTAGCCATAGATTCAATACGCTTAATTGTAAGGTGGTTTTTTCGATCACCATAAAACCATTTTAGAATAAAGAAATTCTGCTCACATGCTATTTGAGATGGCACAATTGAAAATATTTTAATAGTCAAATCTTCTATGCATATATAGTAGTTTATATTATATGATAACCACCATGTTAGTGGAGATTCTTTTTGGAAATTAAACTCTACTTTGAAAGGATCTTCATTACAAATAAAATTGCGAAATTAAAACAATAAATCAATATATTCGGATTCATCATATCCAAGAGCTTTCCAATAATTACTAGCTGTAAGACTTGCTAAATAAAATGGTTGATCTTTAAGGCCATATACTAATAATTAATTATATGATTATATTTTAATAAAAAGTTTTTAAATATTAATTTAAGAAATCTAAATTTACTTACCACGATATAGTGGATGTAAACAATAACTTAAAAGATATGCTTTATGATTAAATTCTTCAAATCAAATATTATAAATTTTTATAATTTGCAATTTAAATGGATTTATTTCCGGAAGTTGATAAATTGCCACAGCTAATTTTAACATATTAATATAGCAATCTGCTAATATTGCAGTTCGAGCTTTAAGTTTATTAACACATAATTTAATTGGTTGTATAATTTGATTAATATAATAACAATTTATAAAGAAATTATCATTATTAATCATATTCTTTACGAAGTGATTTGTTAAACAATCTTCATAATTAATTTGAAGCTAAAAAAAAATTAATTCAATTAATATATATATGATTTATTAAAATTATATAATATTTCGATCTTAAATTCAACTATCTAAATTAATCCTCAAATTCAGATTAATTTAAATAATAAATTTAAAAATATATCTAAAAATGAATTTAGATCACTTGTCAAAAATAGAATTGAAATATTAAAATTATAATAAAATATAAATTACCTAATAAAACACTGGTCATAAATATAATAGTGAATCTGTTGTGTTTCATAAAGAGCACCATCTTGTTTTTGTATAAATTTGTAATCTACCACCTTTGATTTTTATTGTATGAATTCCATCTTCAATTAACCGATTAGGTAAGTATGATTTATTAAAAAATCTTGTTATATGTCCACATGTTTCTATAAATGATTTAACCTGATCAATTTTAGTAAAATCTTCTGCAATCAGGTTAATTAGATGTGCAATACATCTTATATCTAATATATGTGGATAGTCATGGTTTGTAATTCTATGAGCAACTCTGCAGTTACTTTCAGAATCTGTTATAATTGCTGCAAATTTTTTCAAACCAATTGAAGTTACAATTGTATTTATTTTAGTTGCTAAAAATTCACCAGTAGTTGATTTATTAGAATAATCTTTTAGTGTTACAAGATATTCTTTACGATCAACTGTAGTAATAATATAATTGTATATTGACGAATATTGAGAAGAAGACTATCCGTCTAAAGCTAACAAAATAAATTAATAAATATATTTTATTATTTTAATCTTTTAATTATTTGACTTACTTAATGTTAAATTATCATTTTTTTCAAAAATCATAGAAATCTCCTCATTAATTTTCACTATTTCTTTGTCAAGAATTCGACCAGATAATGTTGTACGTCCAGGTAAATGATATGCAGGATTAAGCTGCATAAATAAATCTTGCATAAAAGGGTTGTCGATGATTTCAAAAGATATACCACATCCAACCCAAGCTTTTAGCACAGCATGGTCAAGTGAATTTTGATGATCTATAGAAAGCAATTCTGAATTATTTGTATCAGCTGGATGTATTGATTTGTGATGTTTAGTCTTTGTCTTTGAAGTTCTTTGATAATTATTATTCTGATTACGAATTTTATCTTGCCAGTATTTTTGTATGTCTTCTGAACAACTAGAACATTCATTAGCTAAATATGATTCCATTACAGTTGGTATTTCTCTTTGCCAATGCTTAGGACAATATTTGCATTGGACAGAATAGTATTTTCCGATTTTTTCATCAATATTATAAATGTCCCATACTTCTTTACGAGGCCGACCACCAGAATTAGATTTATTAGTTGAAGCTAAACAATCGCTAGTAGTACTCAAATTATTATCAATATTATTTGATATACTGAAATAAGTAAATAATTATGAATTCGCTTGTTTTATAAAATAGAGTAATAAAAATAAAATATTTGAATAACTATATTAAATTAATTGTTTTGATGTTTTAATTTATAATACGATAGTTTGACTTTTACAAAATTAGATCATTGTGCTAGTTTAATTTTAATCAATAATTAACTACAGTTATATCTAGTTATATCTTTTTTATTTTAACAATTTTAACTACGATATATGTTAAAATAAGTTTTGTCATGTGACAAAATCCAAAACATAGTAATGTTAAAATGTTTAGTCGGCATCACTAGGTGTTATGTCGTAATCATGTTTATTCGAATTAAAACTCAGTTAGAAAATCATGACTTGAGAATCATGGCCTAATCGATGCATGATCAATATTATATACATAACTAGCAATATAGTAATTCTGAGAACTGAACTTTTTGATATTTTTACGAAATAGAGAGTGTTGGCTATATAATGATTGAACCTATCTATAAATACATTGTAAAAAAAATATTTATGTTGTTAAACGGTTCAGTCTTTAATATGAGTGCGTGAGAGTGAAAACCTGGAAACCGATTTAATGATTTACTATGATCAGTTTCTAGGTTTTCATTCTCGCGCACTCATATTAAGTTATCAAAATCAGATGGCTAAGCCACATGTTTTAGTTAGTTATAAAAAGGATGATCAAAATAGTTTAAGAAAAAATAAAACATTTAAATATGTTCCTAGTAGCAATTTAATATTGTATAGAAACTAACTCTTTTGATGGATATCAAA